AAAATTCACTGCCCGAGCGACCATCCAGTCCGAGAGCATGGCTTCGTGCATTCAGGACAGAGGACCGTGGGTGGGGATTCTCCTTGTTCTAGCATAAACACTCGAGTGAAAATCAGCGGAGAGTCTCTCGAATCGAAGCATCTCCCTCGTCGAGATCCATGGCGGTGTTTGCATGAGTGACCGCGTGAGAAAAGGGAGCCCTTGTGTGCGTGAGCGGGTGGGCGACGGAATCTCCTATTCGCCGCTCTGTTCGTAATTCCATCCATCGCTCTCTACCGAGTTTCGTCGTCTGCGGTGCATTCAAGCTTGGGTTTCATCTGTGTTAGTGCTCTTGAATCCGGCGCGAGAGATCAGGTATCGGCTGGGAGGCGTTTGTGAACGGCTCAGATAACAGAAACTATATCAATGCACGTGCTCATCTTTTGTCAACGCTACCCCTTCTCCGCTCGACGAGCTCGGAGTGCTCGCTCGGAGTGACAGGCCGCTGCAGAGCGAGGGACCGTGGCGGCTGTGGTCGCTGCACTCCTAGAAGAAGTGAAGGAAACGAAGCGACGACCGACGAAGCCGAGTCACCTCCAGACACCTGAGCTCCATCGCTACCGTCTCCGGCGACACCATCAAGAGCCACGCTTTCCGAAATCCTCCGCGAGGACTTCGCTCTTTCCTGGCTCCGGTAGAGTCTGTGTCCCGATGTCACGGGAAGTTAGCTTGCACAACTGAGCTATCTCGCTGCGATCGTCTCATTCGTCTTGCTTTTCACGTGACAGCACAAGAGCTGCTGATGCCAGTCAGCAATGTTTTTACTCGAGCCACAATCACAATAAGGAAACCTGTCGTGGGCTGGGGCGCTCGTTCCTCCAAATTAGAGATTTTACGCTTCTGGCTGACGACGTCACACAATCTCCGGGAATTAGCACAGCCTAGGCATAATGAAGTCATGGCGGGAGAGAGCGGGAGTTTAGGGGTTTCCTTTGGAATCATTCTCGGACCGGAAAGAGATGAGAAAAGTTCGAGGCCGGCTAGTGAAGCGGTCAATCAAGCTCCGAGGGATGGACAGCGCGGCGGCGGCAGTATAAATATCAAATAGGGGAGAACAGCTCTGGTCCGCTTGCTTAAAAGCTGCGCGAGCTGTCGGCCGGCTGGGTAGCTCGCGTGACACTTCCATATGCTTCTAAGTGATTTCCTATAAAAAAAAGTTTGAGAAAAGAGCGTAACGAAGCATGGCACCACATGGTCGCGCTATCCACTATCCAACGTTTGCCGCCGCCACCACTACCACCGCTACCGTTTTCCCACCCGGGATAGGTATCGAGTGCTCTTTCCGCGGCTGCCAAACATATTCCTCGGACTCTCCGACGCTTCCAGGGAATGTGAATTCCGAACTCCGACCAGGCCCGGCTCCAGGCCTCGGATACCGAGGAATTGTGGAATATTTTTTCCCTGCTCCGGAATCCATACCCTCTCGCCATCGTCCGTTAGTGATCGTGAAATCTAAAACGGTCCAGATCCGAGACGACCGTCAATAACCCCGTCGTGGCTTTCCGAGGAGGCTGCTTCCACGCCAAATTCCCTTGTTCATCCAGAGGGCGGTTTCCCTCGAGGTTCGTATAGGTTCGCTGCTCCTCCATTGAAGCAGCGGATTCGGTGCGTAGGAGTCAGCCCGCTCAGCTCACCTGGTTGTCGTGGAGCTGGTCTGAGGTTTTCTATTCATCTACGAGGAGGCTACAAAGTGTAAGAAAAATTGAAACGCCAGCCAAAGAGTGAGAGCGGAAGAACCTTGAGGCGATAGACCGGGCGAGGGGGCGAGGGGTACGCCGCCGGGCCGGCGCGCGAACCGATTGTTCCCTTTGTGCTCCTCCCCCTTGTCTATTCGTCGACGGAAACCGAAAGTGTCTCTCGCAACTAAGGAACAAACTGCGGCAGTCGAGGAGAAAATCGAGGGAACAGCTACGTTTTTCTTCAAGACTGCTTTTGACGTCTGGAACGTAGCTCAACGGGAGAGAAAAAGTAGAAAAAGGTGTTCGGACCCAGGAGAAGCTCAAAAGCAAGCGAGCGACAAAATGTCGAATGCCGGTCCCCGAGGAAAGCGTACGCTGAGCCTTCCGAGAGGAGTGAATTGATGGAGTCAACTTTTCTTCTTTTCTCACTCCGAACATAATTTCAAGCGCCGAAGACCTTGACCTGAGAGGGTCCCGCTCGTTTGCAGTACCTATCCCGTGCTCTCTTAGGCTTCTGATGCGACTCTGCTGGGAGCCCTACGATGGCTTTCCATGTCGAATATTTGCATCGGCAGCTTTGCATCGATCGTCAACACCAGGAAATGGATCGAAACTACGGACCTTGATACGTACGTACCTTTCATTCTGTTTACGACGGCTTGGTCTATATTTAGGGCATGGCGATCATTTCCGAGCCGGCTCCCACCACGATCCTGCTCTCTCGGAGCGAAGAATGTTCGAACCCCCCTCGTCCGAAAGAATGTTCGGGGATTCGCCCCGACGACTCGCCTTCCTACGTCACGGTGAAGTCTCATTCCACGTGCTATCAAAATAACTGATCGTCGTTTGTCAAGATATCCGTCACAGTCGTACATGGAAGACCGGTGAAGAGCTATTTCCAGCTCTAAAAGGCGAACGGGGCCGTTCAATGTAAACTCAACCTGTAGCATGCTTGGCCGACGGGCTTCGTTAGACAAACGAGCTCATCAGCAAATCATCAGCTACGACACCGCTTTATCACGGACGGACAACGGCCGAGGCGATGGAGAATCGATCGTTTAGACAGGGAATTCACAGCATATGCGTGTCGGTACGATGAACGTGCAGCTACGTGGGGAACAATCGAAACAAGGTTTAAGTTTCTCAGATTCGGGAGTCTCCAGGAGCTTCGAATGAAGTTTGACCGTGTTTTCTTTGGGGAAAATCCGCTCCGATCCATCACGCAAGGGAAAGAGACGTCTTTCCCACACTAACCATCGCCGACCGAGTCGGAACATTCGACAGCAGTGCGTTCTCTCAAGCCGGTGGCGAGGCTTCGTTCTTCCTGAAAGTTTGTTTGTGGAACATTTCGGATGCATAAACATTGGATGATCCTCGCGTGGCGGCAGGTGCGCGGCGGGTGGACGAACACACGGACGCATGTTGTTTGAGTCGAATGGGAAATGTTTGTTCGGTCGCAGATGTTGTTCCCAGAGCGGGTGGGAGACGATTGATTCGTGACTCTCGGCGTTGACAGCGTCCGTCAATCGTCCATTTATCAGCTCGGTTCACCCTCCATCAAGTGCCTAAACTAGACAACTCGCTTGCCGTCCCAGAGAACTCCGCGAACGATCGCAGTCGTCTGAAATCGCTCAGGCTCCTGTCGCCATCTTAGGTTTCTCATCCGAAAGTCTCGAAGGGCTTCAGAGCATCTCGAATTTGGAATCATATCACGCAGAAATCTCTAAGCTAAAAACAGTACGTGGACCCACCACGCGGCAGAAGTGCTCGGAATCTATAGGGCCTCATTAGCCATCCTCAACGAAATTCGGTTCCTGCTTTTCGAGTAAACGACTGGTCTCCGAAATTGCTCCTGGAGGCGGAGGGTACACGAACGTCTGCTCCGAGCGGAACTATTCATAGATTTCCATCATCGACGGTCTATTCTACAGCTGTATCTCAGAGCGACAAGAGCGACCTGCGACTACGGAGCGTGCTGACGGAGGAGAGACTCGATACCGAAACACGATCGGAACATCGGTCTCGTCAGCGATGGAAACCGTATGGTGCCATGGTGATAGGGGGAATACACATCGTGTGATTTCGACTAACATCCGCGAATGAATACGGTACTCGCTTCCGCAACCAAATCAAAGAAAGAAAGGAAGCAAGTCAATCTCGGATCTGCGGAACATGATGAAAGGAAAAAATCGGTGCAGCAACGCGGGGATGACGATGCGGAGAGCTGGAATTCTCCAAATATAGCTCTCCATCGCAGGCAGGCGCCTAACTTGTTCTACCTGCCCACACACTTTCAGTCGGAGACGACGAGGATCTGTGCTGCTGCTGCTGTCGCCGAACACGATAGCAGAATGGATTTAGAGAGAGAGAGACACCCGTTGGAGGGGGGGAAAAGAGATGGCGCTGCGACATCGGCGTTAGATTCATTAGGCTTTCGGCTCTTCTTCTCTTCCAACGGCGCGTCGTCGTCCTCCATAAAACCTGACACCGGGGCGCGCTTCATACCGTTTCCGCCCAGACAAACGCCGGAGATGACAAAGACGACAGCGACGACAAAGTTCAACCTCCTCCCTGTCCAACTTTGCGTCCCCAACGCTCGTCTACCTGGATTCGGTGCCGCTGTCATTGTCCTTGTCTATAACGGGTCGACTACGGCGAAGTTCGGCTGGAACAGGTTTCAAACCCCCGCCGGGTTTCGCCGAGTTTCCTCAGTCAGCTAATGACGGGATGAGCATTGCTAATGAATTGTAGGCAGTTGGACGTGCCCCGCTACGCTCTGCTCAGGAGCGCAAGCCGCTCACCACGAGCAGTCCACGAGCTCGCGCGGTCCGGACCCGATGTTTTAGCTCACCGCTGCCGAGATTCTATCTGGGAAACCACCTCGAGATTAGCGCTGGATAGCGGCTTTCGAGACGAATGTCAATTATCCAACAATTCTGCTGACAAAACGAATACTTGAAGCGTGAAAGCCGAACTCTCAAGGCATCGCGGTGGACCGGCTGCTGCGTCGGCGGTGATGGCGGTGATATGTTTCCTCTCAAGATGTTATCCTGGCGGAGCTCCGGCTCAGCTGAGCCGGTGGTGGTGAGGGAGTCATTAGCCGGAAAATGAAGACGAAACAGTTCTTGCAAAAATACGACATGTTTAGGGTAGACGTTTATTAACGCATTCATCACTTGTTGTTTGTTCGCTCGTTACTTCGTCGGTCTCTGAGTAATTCCCCATTCCTCGTTGGGGCCTTGCCGGAACGGGAATGATTCAGCTCGTACGCTGTCTGAGTCTCACTTCATAGCCTCGGGTGCCCGATTCCCTTCCACAAACACGCTTTTTCGGTCGTGATGATCATCGTTGATCTCACAGAAATCGAGTCGTAATCATAACATCATTGTAATCTTTTTCTCCCGCCCACAAAATACACGTTTTTTCCGTACGCCGCTCAATGCGAGTTGGAAGAGCGGAGTTCTCCTAAAAACGTTTCGGGATCTCTCGGACGCCCTTTATACAAATCTACATAGATTGCGAAACTGTAATCTCGTCTGGACCCTCTCCATGAGCGAGTTTGTCAGCGAGACGCTGAGGATAGCTCAATAGGGCGGCTTCTGGATGATGTGCTCGGGTCTTTTCCGTTTGAGCTGGACCTTGAGCCTTTTGGTGCCGATCTGGAAACCGTTGAGCGCCTTGATCGCAGCCTGAGCGTGGATCGCGTTCGAGTACGACACGAAACCGAAACACTTGGACAGTTGCGTATGTTTGTCGATGAACACCTTGGCCGATATGACTTCGCCGAATGGCATGAACAGCTGCACCATATCGTTGTCGCCGAAGTCCTGTCAAACAAAGAGGCCGCTCGGTGAGAAAATATGTTGTTGATGTCTTCCGACGGCAGCGCGGAGAAACTCTACGTCGGTCGGCGAGCAGTGCCGTTTACCGCTACGAGGCTATATTTAGGGACACTCAGTACACAGATTCGGATTGCCGGGGGCGACGTTTCGCATGTATTCTCTGATTAGACGAGAAGAACACGATTCGGGTTTATCTTGCTAGGACGTCTTGTTGGCGCTCTCTTGCGGGCGGTGGGGGATCGTGGAAACGCGAAACTTCATCGATTGCCGAGTTGTGAATACGGAACCTATTCTAGAAAACGAGTTCCGACTCGGACGGCTCCGACAATCAAGGAGACGAGAGAGCGCACAAACACAGGAACGAGGAAACGGCAATAGACCTTCAAACAGCGGCGACCCGTGAGAAAGGACGAGTAGATGACGTATGAAGAAATTATTAGTTTGTTTTTCTCGACGCTTCTGTCTGAAGCGCTCTCACCTGCGGCAGATGGTAGATGAACAGGTTGGAGCCTTCGGGGCCTTCGATCTGCTTGCCAGCCGGGTTGTTGAGAGAGGCGAGATGATGTGCAAGTGCGGGCGGTATCTGTTGCTGGTATTTCGACGTCGAATCTGAAGAAGCAAAATAGAATGCTGACTCAATGAGCGCCTCTTGGCGTGCCAGGATGGCTTCCCGCTTGCTTGGTTGGTTGCCTGCCCGCCCGCCCGCCTACCGGCCTACCCTCGTGTCTAGCGCGCTTCCCGCATGTTTCGCCGAACGAGCCAGAGTCGGTTAGAATGCATTCCACTCGTGAGTGGGTGAACCCTGTTTCCTTGAGCGCAGCGCTGTTCCTATTTTTTCTTTCTATCACTCTGTCTCACGAACATCGCTCCCGTTCGAAACGAGCGGGGAACGAGGCGAATGCGCGACAGACCGTCCGGGCAACCATAAATCTGTGAACCAGCGTGACCCAGGCCTTCTCGAATGCTCAATTTCTCAAAAATTGTCGACGAGAGACATTTCAGCGAGGTACCCACGCTCTCCGGCGTAGCGGGAGAGCTCTCCATTGTCAGCACAGATCACATGTTCTAATACGAACCTCCACAACAAGAACCACTGCTGCTGCTGCTGCTGTGGGCCGGAGACGATATCGGACTCGTCTGGTGGTAGTTTGGAACTCTACAGGTCGCCACAGAGTTGAGGTTGAGAGGCGCAGAGCACGGCTGGTTCTGGCCCATTAGCTGTCCCAGGAGGTTGTGGACAAGCATCGAACCGCCTTGGGAGTTCGCTAGCGTTGAACGACCTGCCGCATCTGGAAGTACCCAGATCCGCCGTGTTAACAATGAGCGGCAACAACGCGACACATCGAGCACCCGGCCTTTCAGCCTGACAGCTGCTTCGACCCGTCAACACATGAGGCGGAATGCAAGTCTACAAACTCGAGTGAGTGGTTACACCTACCGATTGAGGTCCGGGTCGGTGTCGCGCTCGGGGGGGACGGCAACCTACCCGAGGGGAGTCCATATATGTTGCCAGCAGCCTATAACATGAGATCATTAAGGCTCAGTTCATTTTATTCAACGTCAGTTTCGAATCGATGCTCTAACAGGGAACACGACGGTGTCCGCATTTCTACGGCTTTCCGGCTCGTTGAAACTCGGTAGGGAGATGGGGAGATGGCTCATTCTCGATTGGGGATGGTAGAGACAAAGAAATCATAATCAAAAATCTCGTGCTCCGGATTAGGCAAATGATCAGGAGAGTCGATCAATCGATCGATCGATCGGTCGATCAATCAGAATTTGCGAACCTCTGTCGTAACAAGTTGTCGATTCAGCTGGTGCTGGAGGTTTAGGTGGAGCTGGGGCTGATGTTGATGGTGGTGGCTGTGATGTTGATGCAGTTGCTGCTGTTGGAATTGTCTGTGGATCGGTGATTGAGCGACTCCCGTGACCTGAGCCGATGTTGTCGTCGATAGGTTCGTGACAAGGCTCTGTACGATCTGATGCTCGAGGCGATTCGCAATGCCATTGATTAGGCTCTTGGCGATGTGACCGTGTAGCTGCTTGGTCAGAGCTTCTTTGAGTTCGAGGCTTTTGGCAGCCGCTTTGAGCTTCCGTTTGAGACGTCGGCTAGCGACGTACGTACTGATGAGGCCTTGACTCTGTCGGCCTTTGTTGTTATTGTCCTTATCTTCGGACGGACTCCGCGGGGGCGGGCTTTGTGACGACTCTGTTGCGTTTGGATGTTGGGTCATTTCAAAGTAATTCTCCGTGGTTGGATCTGGTGTACACGAAGTATCCTGGAAAGAGAAACGACTGAATCAGCTTCGGAGACAGAGAGAAAGTCTTAACGACGGCGCCGACGAGGTCTTAACTTATGTGCATACGGGTGTTAGTCAGCGTCGATCTGGCTTCTATTGCTCCGGCGTACAACCTGAGGCGAATAAAGTCATTTACATGAATGAATATTCAAGCGTATCGATCCTCGCCAAGCACGCGCAGCTCTCGCGAGATGCCAATAAAAGCATGTTACACCCTTTTATCTGCCTCTCGGCTTCCCCGGGGCCAGAGGATCGACAGAGGAAAAAATATACAGCCAGCCCGAATGTCGAGATTCTCTGACGCGTCAGAATAAATGAAGCAGTCGATAGCAGCTTTGACATTCTGCAGCCGTCGCAGCCGTGTTCGCGGGATCGAATGAAGACGCGCACATCGAAGGTCTGCCGGCACGGCTGTCGCGAAATAAGAAACTCCCGACTCCTTGGTTCCGGCTACGCCTAATTGATTCGGATCTCGAATTTCGGCCAATCACATATTCATTACGAGGGACGGATGACCGGCGGATTGATTTACGCAGTCTCCCCACCTTACGTTTGCTGCTCTCAGAGCGCTTCTGCCAACCGCTGCCTCACTGATCAATTCGACCAGGCGGCTGCAACTTCGGCTCCCGAGTCACCCACATGGGAGCGATGTCCCGAAGTTTTTCTCGTATCCTGACAGTGGCCCTCGGAGACTGGATAGAGCCGCTACTACTATACGGCGGTAGATCGAGAGGATTAGGGAGCGTTTGCGGGCTCTCTTACCGCCACGGCCGACGTCGACAACGTTAAGCTGCGCGCGGGACACAAAACAAGCTAGTTTGAATATTTCGCCTTCGGTTTCGCGTGGATTAGGCCGTCACCCTGTAAGCCTCGTCGTATTCAACCACACGAACGCAAACACCCACTCTCCAGCCAACTCGCTCGCGCGTCTGATCTGCCCGTCGCTTCTCGGCGTGCTCGTCTCTCGATGTGTCGGAGCCGTCCGAATGCAAGGGCTCGGAGGAGAGTAACGAACTTTGAAATAGTCGATTCCAGTAAGCTTGACAAGCGAGCTCACAGTATGATATAAATGACCTCTCCGAGACTGCTCGCGGGAAGAGAGGAGCTCGCTCTGTTCCCGCATCGCTCCCTCTCCCTCGAATTGTCTACATAGGAACAGTCGACGCCCCTGTATTTCTTGCTGTTGTTGTTGTCGTCTTCGTCGTCATTTCTCTCCCATTCTCCAAAACTCGGCTTGTTGCGAGGCATTGGGGCTCCCATGTAGACCGCCGGTGACAATACACGCTCCTCCTACGACCGTTGCCGACCCTCAGAGGACGTAGTCCCCGTCTGGGCAGCGTTTTTCGCAGCATTACGAAAATTCACTGCCCGGAGCTCGAACTCGCTTCTCCCCTCCAACTCACCACAAGTACAACAGGTGAATCTATCCGAGAGGTACCATTGGCGAGTTTTGACCAATCCTGTATAATTTCTCCATTTGCACCAAATTATGCAAATCAGCTCTCTGCCCATCGTCCACCTGTCCGCCCTAATTCCCATGCTCATCTGGCTCCGCTGTAGCCTCGATTCAGCAACAGTTCACTCTCGTGGCCTTCCTCCCGAGCTTCCGTGGGCGGCGAGTGGACGATCAGTTTTTTCTATCAAGTATTTCAAGGGCGAAAAACGTCGCCACAGACTGTCCGGAAGATCTCAGCAGAGCTTGCCTGTGAGAGGCGGTCAACCGTGCCCCTAATATGTAGTTGTACTTATTTCTCTTTGCTAATATTCGTATATGTCTCGGCTCGATTGTGAGGAGGAGCGCTTGAATCGCAATGAATAGGATAAAGTGCTCCTCAACGACCTCATGAGATTCTTTCTCGTTCCATGACGGATGGCCTACGATTCAAGTCACGCTCTGAAGCGTGGAAACCATTGACAAATGCTCCAAAAACGCGCTTCACAAAAATCGCTACGAAGAAACATGAAATATGAATCTGCTCTCTTTGAGCTCGATTGCCACCTTGACGAGCGGTTTGGCCGCTGTAGGTGGAGGGGCAGGCGCCGATATAAAGTGGTGGGAACGGTGCGCGCTTCGGTAGCATGGCAAACCGATGAGCGCCCACCCGAAAGTTAGGGCGCACCACCCGCTCTCAAACGAGACAACAAATGAGAGAAGTTTTTTTAGGCGCACCGGGCCACCGCTCGCAACGCTACCGCAGCGACAGAAAGAGCTCCGAGCGGAGAAATTGACTCGAGTGTCTTAATGAAAGTTCTTCCCGGACTTGTCGCAGCTCGGACGGCAAGAACTGATGGATTCCAATTAGCCAAATGGACCCAGAAGCCGAGATGGAGCAGACGATCGTCTTCCATGACATGTCGCCCACAGTAAGCGTTCTCTGGGCCTACGCGGCAGGAACAGCGATGGTAGCATGACCTAACGGAAAAATGATGCGACGTCGGCGGTTCCCTAATTTATAGATGGGCTCAACTCTCTGCCCCGTGTTGCTCCATGTTCTTCCCCTCCCCCCTGTCCTTTGTATATCCCTCTGCAGAGATCCGAGACAACGGAGGCCTTCCCCGTAGCTGCCGTTTACAGCCACGCTGTTGGCGGCGGGCGGGTGGTGGAGCAAACGACCGTATTTTAAATCACTGTGCGGCCTTGACGTACGCGTTATTAGATAGTCCCCAAACATGGAACAGGTAAAGGCGCGCTCCGTCCTCTCGGCTCGGGGACAGCGTTGGCAAGGACAGCAGCAGCTGGAACGGTGGCGAACGTCAACGACGAGAGCATCAACAACGACAAAGCCACCGAAGGCAACAACAAGTAGTCGTACATGAACATAGTTAGCTAGATGCGGAAAGCCATTGCGAGACAGTCATGCAGGCACGCGAACATTAATAACAAAGAGCCTACTGATGCATAGCTTGACCACGGAGCCTCTGTATTCGACTCGCTCCGTAAATAATAATCTCTTATGGCAAAACAAACAACGCAGAGGTCAATGGGTCACTCGAGCTACCGAGGTCTCCGGATCGGCAACCGATCGTCGTTAAACTAATCGTCGTTCATCGTCCACAGATAGCTCATGAATGAGCAAATCATGACGAAAGTACCGCGGGTCTTCAGCTTAGCCCGCAGTGCCATCTTATATGCCCATCTCGGATAAAGCATTTCATTTCCGGATTTGAGTTCATCGACAACGTACATAGATCATCGATCCATCTACATCCGGAGAGGCCCGTTGGCAACTTAATTGCTCCGAACTGAGCTGACAGGTGCTCAAGTCCGCGTTGCGAATGGAAGTTTCGGACGAATTATCACTCGAGGATCGAAGTCGATGATGACATTCTGTCCCCGCACTCGAACTGCTGGGGCGCATGGATCTGATCTGTGCCATCATGCACTCTATCCAAGCCATACGGATTATGTTCATGGCATCATACTCCTAACGGAGATATAGCGAGTCGGCGACCCTAAATCATGGCGTCAGGGGTCAGGTCCTGGGTCGTGGGCAAACTTCGCACCTACACACATTCATTCTACCGCATAGCGCTCACACCGAGCGCTACGTTCATATTAGAAATAGGAAGAGAAGCGAACGAGGAAGAGATATAGGGAATTTTGGAGAGGCGTCGTATTCATCGGGGTGGATCGCCGGCTCACGTGTGATTATGGAGCGTAAATTGCGCGTGAACGCTTCCAGTCTCGGACACGGTCACGATCAGCGATCATCGGCAGGGGCTTCCGAATGAGTTCCCTACGCTGTTCCGCCAAGGCAGCAGCCGCTCAGACCTCGGCTTGAAACAGTGCGAGCGCTCGCGGTAGCACCTCGTTCGCCATGGAGATCAGGCGTCGAAGCGAAAGACGACGACTAAAATCGCCACGGCAACTGCAACGACCTGCGTTTGCTTTCCACGACAGCAAACGATGACCGATGGCCCGGTGCAAGACCTAATGTGTCTTCGACGAGAACGCCCACACCGAGCGACCGACCGACTGACGGAACGAACTGACGAACGGACGAGGAGGTCTCGGACGGACCGACAGCTCGCGTCAAATAGATGAACCGACAGTTTGCTAGTCCGTGCGTCCGTCCGTCCGTCCGTCCGTCAGTCTGTCAGTCGGTCGACCACCAAGCAGGCAAGCAGGCGGTCGGTCGACAGGAGTCAACCTCCACTAGATGATCTTTCAACTCTATTGGCTTGTTGAGCTTCTTCTTTTCAAGCTTCGTCTCGTCTTCTCTTCCTCGTCCGAGCCGAATGAGACAACTGCATCGACGACGCTTGGCGCCGAAAGCATCGGCGACAGAGGGGAGACTCAAACATTCGCTTCATCCAGCGGTTATCCCTAAATCTCTCGGATGGCTTGGGCCCACGGACCGCTTCGGCCGTGGGCTTCCCGGACGAGGGCTCTGAGGATGCTCGCTATCCGTGTCCGGGAAAATAATTGACTAAGCTCTAAAGCGGAAGCCCCACTCGGGATTCATGATGGGAGTCGACGGCTCTCCAGACCCAGTCGATCCTACCCCGAATGAGGAGTCGAGCGTCACATATGAAAAATAGAAAACACGGAAGTTGCCGCGTCGGGACTCGGGACGCGGCTCCCTCGCTCAGTAGTCTCTAGACTTCGGCACTTCCTCGACCCATTGGCCAACAGCTCGCACAGCCCACTATCGGGGAGGAATATTCGACCGTAGGGCGACAGAGTCGCGGTGTGCTCCGAATCGATAGTCAGCTGGTTCGAAGAACCGATCCGGGTCTCCCTTACTCGCCAGAGAGATAGTCTCAGCGTTTGCGCACGAGAAAAGCCGCGGGCTCTCCGGAGCAGATTCATCATTCGTTGAGCTCTGACGTTATTCGCCAGCGGGGAGTTCTTCCTGCTCTACGCAGTTCGAGACATAGAACAACGTAAACAAGCATCTATGCCCTCCTTCCAATCTTAGACAGTCCACTGGCTTTGGGTAAGCTTCTTGCCCTCTGAGATTCGTAGGGCGACAGCG